GGCGGCGACAAGCAGCAGCAGCAGCAGCACATCGAGTGCGTGGTGTGCGGGGACAAGTCGAGCGGCAAGCACTATGGCCAGTTCACGTGCGAGGGCTGCAAGAGCTTCTTCAAGCGCAGCGTCCGGAGGAACCTGAGCTACACGTGCCGCGCCAACCGGAACTGTCCCATCGACCAGCACCACCGCAACCAGTGCCAGTACTGCCGCCTCAAAAAGTGCCTCAAAGTGGGCATGAGACGGGAAGGTATCGGCCTCTCATTTCTCCCCTCTCGCCTGGGGTCCCGGGGCCCTTGGGTGCGTGTGGCTAGCCTGCTCTGGGGAAGGACACAGACGCCCCGAGCTCTTCTCTTCGCACTGCAGCTGAAAGGGGTTTATACTAGAAGCGAGTTCTGCACTGGAACCCAGACCCCACATCCGCATGCTTTGGCCGACTGATTTCCTCCTCCACTCTCTCTCCGGGCTGTTTGCATTTTCTGTGCGCGGAGAGACTTCATTCCAGTTCGCCTTTCTGCAAGGGATGGGGCGGCGGCGGCGGCGGTGGTGGTTTAAAGCCTGCTTTACTTCTCGCTCTTTCCTCTCAGTTTCTCGCTCCTTGTTTCTCCTGCATGTTCAACATATGTCCCTCCTCCCCACCCCACTCCCCAGCCCCCACCCTCTCAAAAAAAAAAAAACAACAACCTGAGATTGTACTTTTGTACAGGAGGTTCAAATTACAAATGGCAATTTTATGCACTTCGCCGTATTAACGCCGCCGCCCGGGCAGCGCTCATGTGACCCTCCATGGATTAACATTCTGCTTTAAAAAAAAAAAAATACCTCGGTTTTCTTTTTTCCTTTCACTTTTGAAGGGAGGAGAGCGCGATAGGGAATAGGGAGAGGCTGGGCCAGGGACCCTAGGCGGCTGCTTTCGCTCTGCGCGAGTTGGGTCTTTGTGACATAAAATTCTCGGAGCGCCGCGAGCCGTGCTCGGCCAATGGCGCGCTCGGCGCCGGGCGCGGGCTCTGGGCTGGGGCGAGCGAACGCCGGGGTTTCTTTGTGTCTCTGCGAGAGCGGCTCTCCCGGTCCGGCGTCAGATAACAGCCCGAGCCCGAGCGGCGCCGGCTCTCCCCGGCCCGCGCGGCCCCTACCCGGGCTGCGCCGGCGCCGACCGCCTGCTTCCCGCCTCTCCCCGGCTTCCTCTCGCCTCGGCCGGCCTCTTTCTCCTCCCTCTTCCCCGGTCTCTCTTTCTCCGAGCACACTCGTCAAGCTGCCGCCAGACTCGGCTCTCTTCTCGTCTCTCGCCGGGGGTTCTCCGCCGGGCTGGGGCTGCGGGGCTTGGGGGAGAGCCATTCCGGGTGGCCACAGGCCGCCGGGCGTGAACCCTGGTGTCTTTTGCAAAAACGTCTCGCCCTCCCCCCCAGACTCGCCCCTCCCGCTCCCTCTCCTCCAATCAATAAGAAATATCAACTGCTTAGCAGTAAAGAAGAAAGATGCCCCCAGAATACTCCGTCCGGTCCACCGCGCCGGGGACCCCCGAGGCAAAGTGGCCAATTCTGGGTCCTCGGAGGCCCAGCCCCGAGCGGGCCTCGCAGCCAAGTGTGCGGCTCTGGCCGCCAGAGCTGGCCTGGGTGGCGTTTAGAGGAGTGCTGCCTGCCTCCCGGCGACTCCCAGGTCTGGGCCCTGGCTCACTGTTGAGCAGGGGCAGCCTGCCTGGTCTGGTGCGGCAGGGGTCGAGCGGGCATCGTGGCGTGGCGGCGGGCTGGGGCCGACCCTGCCCGGGGAGCCGGGGCCAAGCCTGGCCATTAACTACTGAGTGTCTCCTTTCCTCCCCGCAGCCGTGCAGAGGGGCAGAATGCCGCCCACCCAGCCGACCCACGGGCAGTTTGCGCTGACCAACGGGGACCCCCTCAACTGCCACTCGTACCTGTCCGGATATATTTCTCTGCTGCTGCGCGCCGAGCCCTACCCCACGTCGCGCTTCGGCAGCCAGTGCATGCAGCCCAACAACATCATGGGCATCGAGAACATTTGCGAACTGGCCGCGCGGATGCTCTTCAGCGCCGTCGAGTGGGCCCGGAACATCCCCTTCTTCCCTGACCTGCAGATCACCGATCAGGTGGCCCTGCTTCGCCTCACCTGGAGCGAGCTGTTCGTGCTGAATGCAGCGCAATGCTCCATGCCCCTCCACGTCGCCCCGCTCCTGGCCGCTGCTGGCCTACACGCCTCGCCTATGTCCGCCGACCGGGTGGTCGCCTTTATGGACCACATACGGATCTTCCAAGAGCAAGTGGAGAAGCTCAAGGCGCTGCACGTAGACTCCGCCGAGTACAGCTGCCTCAAGGCCATAGTCTTGTTCACCTCAGGTAGGAAGGTGCCCTGCCCTCTCCAGCCCAAGGGACCCTAGCCCAGACTTAGGGCCAGGAGAACTTGGGATGCTCCAAAGGGAACCCAGTCTTCCCCTTGACAGACCCCAGGACAAGTGCTATTTGGAGTAGCTGCTGGGTCCTAGCAGGCCGATCCTCTTGAAGACTGGGTGGCCAGAAGATGCTTGGGACATAGGCTCTCCAAAGGGTCTAGGTGAAGCTCTGAGGCCCCTTCCCTCCTGCCAGCCTGAGATGGGTGTTCTTGCTCCCCTCCTTAGCCCAGGATCTCTGGGCCAGCTGGGCCTGGGGAAACTCCTCAACCCTCAGGCTCTCTCTGTCACCCTAGCTGAGCCTCTTAAGAGATGCCCCTGGGCACTGGAGTAGTCCTGGCACCATCCCTGCTGGGGAAAGTTTGCCCCTGCAGGGGAAAAGTTGGCCTGCTAACTCAGTAGGAGTTGGAGCACCAAGCAAACCCAACCTGAGGGCAGCAATTTTCAAAATCATATTCTTATGAAAACAATGCAGAGTGCCAGGAGAGGGCGAGAGCTGTCAGGAAGGGCAAGAGCTTGCAGGAGGGGGCATTAGACCTCTCCAGAGTATCTGCAGGGGGTTGAGGAGTCCAGGCCATCTCTTCCCCTGCCCAGGCACACCTAAAGCAATTTTCAAGCCACCAAAGTCTAACCAGCCAACATGAGCTAGATGCAAATGTTGCTGGAGATATAAAACCATCACTGACTGCATTATGAAATCTAATGAGTTTGCATGTAGTTTAACCTGTGTGAGTAATAGATCTAATATTAATGAACTCTTGAGGCCAAATGAGTTGTGAAGGTGTCTGGCTTTCCACTTTGGGCCACACCTGAGCCTCTTGGCCGCCTCCAGGCAGAGTTCAGCACAGCCCAGGTGGGTGGAAATCACCCCCCTACACACACACACACACACACACACACACACACACACATTCTTGTTCTAAGTTGTCAGCTGATCCCTTTGTCACTGCTGAGAGGGGAAAAGGGGTTCCCAATTAACGATAACAAACATTTGGATGTTGGTAAGGCTTGGCACCTCAGCACCCACTGTGTTTTTCTCCTCTGCTTGTAGCCGGGAAGCTGGGAGAGCTTCGTAGTTGGTGTGGCAAACAAAAAGATCCACATTCTCTTTCTTATTGTTCCAAGGAAATGTGGGGTCCAAGTCATTGACTGAATCTGCTGCAGGTTCTGAGTTCTTATCCCATTGTTTGTTAGACATTGCTGCTGTACGTTTAAATTCCCCCTCACCCACAGCCACCCCAGATCTGCCGCCAGTAGTCCTAGGTCATCAGCTTCAAAGCAGTGTGTAGGCAAGGAAGGGCACTCTGCAAAGGCTGGGGTGTGGATGACTTTTAGGGGGTGGGGTGTCATTAGAACACTTGATCCATGCAGTTGTAGAGCAAGGTACCCCCTACCTCACAGCCACCTTCACACTGCCCCACAACCTGACACCCAGCCCACAGTCCCAGATGGCGGGGTAGCTAATTTCTTGTTATCATTGTTAGCTCTTAGCCTTACCCTTGGTCTTTCAAGGGAAGAAATGCCTGATACTGTCGTAACAGTTTAATTTATTACTATTTGCAAAATGTAAAGGCCTGTGTGGAGAATGCAAATCACCTCACAAAGAGATAAAGGTTCTGTTATCTGATTCAGAGGGAGACTGGCAGTACCCAGACAGAAGGAAGGTTCCTATGCAAACAGATCTTTTAATTCCTGAGTACAGACACCTCTACCTGCTGTAGACATTCAGAGCCCTAGATACACACACGAGGAGCTAACTTGTGTGTTCTGCTTCTTGGGGTGGAGGTAGGGGTGGCTGTTTTAGAATCTCTGTTTTAAGGATTCACAATATGCATGTGTTAGCCCCAGTCTTGTCTGGGGAGCCCCCAAAGGTCAGGTCACAACCTGCACAGCCTTCACTGAGAAGCCTCTCATTTCAAAGGCACCTATTGTATTTTCACGTATCCAAAAAAAAAAAGTGTTTTCCTGAAGATAACAGGGAAGGGGGTTCTTTTTGGAGGGGCCAGGATTTTTTAAGGGGGGGGAGAGAAGGAGCAAAAGGGAGAGAGAAGAAAAGGGGGGAAAAGAAACAGCTCAAATGAACAGAGAGATCACAGTTTGCATGGATGCCCTTCAATAGGCTAAACTGACAAGATCAGTTTTAAAGGGCCACTTAAATCAGTTTCAAAGACTGCAGAAAAATGAGTCGCCCTCTTTGGGGAGAATCTGAAGCTGGGTCTTGGTGGCCATTACTAGGGGCTGGGCCAGGTTGCCCGCTCCCCCCCCCCCATATAATTATAAGCCAAACTGTTATTTACAGTGGAGGAGGGGAAGGGGCACAGCCAGTTGAGTTTCATCTGTTTGTCTGTTTACTGACTTGAGCCAGATTCACCCAATGCACTTTGCTGGGGCCTCCCAGTGACCCAGCCTGCAGCGGGCTGAGCTGTGTTTGATTTTAAAGCAAATACCCCAGGACCAGCTCATGCTCTCCCCCACCCCCAAGTTTTCAGTTCGAAGGCATTTGCTCCAACTCCGGTTGGGGCAGTTTGACAGAACACTGTACACACACCTCATGTGACCCATTTCCAACCTCTTAATATGATGACTGAATTCTTCTCCTTCTTCTCCTTCTTCTTCTTCTTTTTTTTTTTTTTTTTTTTTTTCTGTTGAAACTTTCTTCCAGATGCCTGTGGTCTCTCTGATGTAGCCCATGTGGAAAGCCTGCAGGAAAAGTCCCAGTGTGCTTTGGAAGAATACGTTAGGAGTCAGTACCCCAACCAGCCAACGCGATTTGGAAAGCTTTTGCTTCGTCTCCCTTCTCTTCGCACGGTGTCCTCCTCAGTCATAGAGCAATTGTTTTTCGTCCGTTTGGTAGGTAAAACCCCCATCGAAACCCTCATCCGGGATATGTTACTGTCTGGCAGCAGTTTTAACTGGCCATATATGGCAATTCAATAAATAAAAAAATCAAAATAAGAAGGGGGAGTGAAACAGAGAGAAAGAAAAGGCAAAAGACTGGTTTGTTTGCTAAATTCCTTCTGTTAAGAAAGGATATAAAAGGATGTTACAAGTTTGCTAAAAGAAGAGAGGGGGAAGAATTTAATGGACTGTGAATTTCAAAAAAAAAAAAAAAGACTGTCAAATGAACTTTTACAGAATGCATTAAAAAAAAAACTCCTGTGTCGGTCAGAACAACTTGCTACTTATCATTTTTGTATAAAAAGGAAATTAGTCTTTTTCTTTTTTTGGTAAAATTTTGAAAAATATTGCTAAAAGTGCATTTAAGGAGATTGGGAGAAAATTAGCAGAATGGAGAAAGTAAGTCTTTTTTTTTTCCAAATTATTAATTGTCCTGTGTCTATGTACCTCTAGCTGTTCTTTTTTTGTACTTTTCTGGTTCCAAACCAGTTATTCTGTGGTTCTATAATAAGTTTTGATATAATCTTGGCTTCTTAAAAACTGTGTATCCTTAAAATATATGTTCTGCAAGAATTAAAACTGAGTCCATGAAAATATCATAGGAAGACATAAAACTTTAAAAGGCAACTCAAAGATGATGAAAACGCACTTAGAAGTGGTGACCAAAAAAAATTTAGGTGATGTTGAGCACTCTAATTTGAGAACTGGAGGAACCACATACAACACTTAACTTCCCCTACCCTGCCCCCCCCCCAAAAAAGACACCATGACAAACTTAGCTTTTTAAAAATATTTTAAGAAAGAGAATGAACTGTGGAATTTATTGACAGCCAAGGAATGTGTCCAAGACACATGCTGAGGTTTTGAATAAAAAGTGAACTTTTGTAATCTGAATTGGGTCCCGCTTAGTTCTTGAATTGTTATGAAAATCCTCTATCTGTTTGTATATTTGCAAACCCTTTGTATTATAATTGTTGATATTTTCCCTTTTTAAAAAATACCATTGAAATCAGCATGACAAAATAACACTGTTGGCACTTATAGGTAACGTGATTGATTCAGTATCTTAGAGTTTACAGTTTGTGTTTTAAAAAAAACTGAAGGTTTTTTTTTTAAGTGCAACATTTCTGTATACTGTAAAAGTTATAATAACTGAACTGTTTGGTCGAGTCTTTGTGTGTTATATTCCAAGGAAAATTGAAAGTATTCAGAAATTAAAATATTATTTGATATCTGAAACCTGTTTGGCTGTCCCCACTCACTGTCTTCCCTGCAGAAGAGCCTCTCTGGGCTCTCACTGAGCCGGCCGGGGGCTGCATTTGTTTGCTCCCTGTAGTCAGTTTGTTCAAAGGTGGACTAGTATATTTGCCTGTTTAATTTGGGGGTGTGTGGGGGGGGAGCTGAAGTTAATGGTTTATCTATGGTTTAGGAAGTGCCATACTGATATAGTAAACCAGCCCCATTCACCTAATCCTCCTTTTAATTAAAAATGGATTTTCCAGGAAAAAAAAAAGGCCCTTATATTTGTCACACTTAAGTGCCTGCTTAGGGAAGGTATTGTGAAAAGTATTAGAAAACTTGAGATCAGTATCTATTTTATGATCAGAAAAAATACTGTTTTGTACATTTCTGACAGTCACCAGAGGATCTTTCAAGCAAGCTAATCACAGCATTGTACATAGAAGCAGTTGTTGCCATGAGTGTTTCCTTAAGTAGGTGTGATTTTTTAAAAATATTTTGTGGTTCTCATCTAGCCTGGTTGTTGAGAGGAATCCAAATTCAGTGATAGAGCTTTTAGCGCTGAAGGGTCTGTTTTTAATGTATATATGATAACTTGCAGTTGGTCTCTACCCCTCCCCCTTTACGTTCGTTCTGTGAGAGCCTGACCACAGGTCAAGGGAATCTTTTCCATTGGAGTTATGTACATAAAAACACATCGACATTTTGACATTTCAGATTGTGTAGATACAATCTGTACTGATCTTGGGATCCTTTGTCCTTAGAAGCCAAGTTAAGAAAAAGAAGGGAAAGGAAGAAAGAAGGAAGGAAGGAAACTTTAAAGAGTGCTGATTTGAAGTAACTATTTTGTTTCAGTCTTCCACACCCCCCCCCCTTCTCCTGGTTTGGGGAAAGCTCAGTGTGTGGGAGCTTGCAATTTTGTTTTTACTGAGTCTTTCCAGGACCACCACACCCCCACTTCATACTTTACCGTGTTGTGGTTTAATTTTTAAAAGGGGTGGGTGGGGGAGGTGACAGAACAGATCATTTTGCAAAGTATTAAACTTTGATATTCAGTTCCAGTCAATACATGCAGACCAGGAAAATGTGTCTGATTTGTGCATTTGAGCAGAGATCTTCCTCTGCCCCTCAGCTTCTTCCTGTAGATATATCCATACGTAAATACAAGTATGTGCTATGGCAGGAGATTGCTGACCTTAGAGCCAGGTTTTGTCGGTGGTGGTTTATTTTCTCCTCTTGCAAGTGTTATCCATGTGAGTGTGTGAAGTTTCTCTAATAAGTAAAACGCAGGCCCTTTCCCTTGTTTGTTTTGTGTTAGTTTATTGTAAACAGCCATTTGTTGTAAATTATTATTGGCATTAAATTATAATTTATGATTTTCAAAGCAAAAGACAGTCCCTGTTTTATTACGCTTTAAGCATGTGTTCTAGACGTTGGAAATCTCTCTCTCTCTCACTCTTAAGTTTCAGCAATGAGCTTGGGGTCTGCGAGGCAGAAAAACAGGACCCAAATTTTTCAAACGGTTAAAACAAACCCCTTGTATATGTTTAGAGTGGCCGGAGGAGGATCTGTTTAGAGTCTTGAGTTTGGTTTAAGTTTATTACATTTAAAGAAAGTTTTTCTTTTCACGCTGAGTTAGAACAAAAGATCTTTGCTGCGACTGAATTGGACAAAAGACGAGGGCTGGGACCCAGCGAGTGCGTTCTGTGTGAAATTGACGAGATCTTTAAAAAAGCTGCTAAACATGGCGACTCTTTCCCTTTAAGTGTCTCTTTTTCCTTGCTGTTTTTTTTTTTTTTTTTCCATCTGATCTGAGCTCGCTTTATTTCTTTTCCCAACCCCGCTCCCCCTCCTCCTCTCGGCGCTCGGGGGTGTGAGAGAACCCAGTTAGACGCGAAATGCAACAATAGTACGAGAGAGAGAGAGAGAGAGAGAGAGAGAGAGAGAGAGAGAGAGAGAGAGAGAGGGGCGATCGCAGCTTCTCGCCACTTTCAAACAAACCTGGGGGAAGACTGGGCTGGGGGTGGGGGGGATTCTAGCCTGTTCGCTCGGCTCACGGTCGCTTTGCCTCGGCCTTTCAACCGGAGTTCTCTCCCGGCCGCGAGGGGCTGGGGCTTAAAGTTAGCGGGCGACGTCCGGGGCTGAGTACGCGGAGCCGGCGGGGTTAGCATCCGGCGGGCGGCAGGGGCCGGGGCCTGGAGGTGGCAGCAGCTGCTGAAAAGTGCCTGCCCCCCAGCTCCCGCCCCCCACTTACGTGCGGCGGAATTCCGCCAGCGCCCCCGGAAAGTCCGGGGTGCCGGGCGCGCGGAGCTGCACTCCTGGGATGTGCATTAAGCGGCGACAGGCGGGGGGCGGGGGCGGGGGGCGGTCAGGGGGAGCTGGAGCGTGTGAAACTCTGCCTCGAAGCTCGCTTTTGACTTGGTCCTATGAGCTGAGCCAACATGGCGTCTCCCATTGCACCGCAGCGCTGGGCTGCCAGGCACGGCAGGGCCGGGTAATAGAAAACACATTGGTTACCAAAAAGAAAAAAAAGAGGGGGGGGGTGCTTAAGGCACTTCCATCTGCAGGCAGAAAACCCTCTTTTAAACTCTGGCTGGCAAGTGAGTGTGGTCCTCGATTATTCTGTAATTAAAGCAGCAGAATTCGTGGGGAAGATAAGGGTAACGCAGTATCCCCAGTCCACCTTCTTCCCCCCCCCCCGCCCCTCCATAATCTGGAGAGTTCATTTCGTGTCTCCCCTCTCAACAAGAACCAAATTAGAAAAAGAAAAAGTCTGTATCCGCAAACGATCTGAAGTGTTTGAATGGCCGAGGGGGAGGGGAGAGGCCAGTATTTACAGACCTCGGTCAGTTCTCGCGCTCATTAATGCGAGGGCTGCGCTGGCGGGCCGGCCTGGGGGTGGGGACCCGCGGCGAACCCCTCCGGACGTGGGCAGAACTTGCTGCTCACATGTCAAAGTTATAGGAACGGTGGCTTTCCGGGCCGATGACTGATTGGGGACTCGGGGCGCGTAGGGACCGAGAGCCGGTTCCGGACGGGTGGTCTCCGGCCCTAGAAATGTATGCGCTGGTCTGGACCGTCCCCCTGACGGGAGCGCGTCTGCTGGAGACGATCCGCTCTCTCTCGCAGGGTTGAGAGATAGGCTGGTGGTGGGACAGACCTGGTCTCCCAGACAGGGTCTTCCGAAGGCCTCTGGAGCGACAGTGGGTTGGCCCGCGCCGCGCGGGCGCTCAGCCCACCGGGAAGTTGTCCTTTCGCTCAATTCCAGCCTCAGCCGGGGCCTGGAGACCCCTACCCTTAGCTGCCTGGGAGGGGAACGAGTACTTCTGAATTCGGGGCCTTGTCAAGATTTATTGAAGTTGGGTTTAAAAAACGTGCCTTAGATGATTTTTCCCATTTTCTCAGATTTCAAAGGCTCCCCGCAGTGCGGCTGCCTAATTAATGGTGAAATTCAACTAAATCTAATTATGCAGTAATTTTAAAGCAGTTAGTGCTGGGCGTTGGTTTGTAATAGGACCCCAGTTTTTAAAAGTTTGCTTACTGTGTTGGTTTAGGGAAAAGCCATCTTTTGTAAGGCAAAGAAAGCCAGGGAAATAGTTTTTGCTGTAAGAACCTCCCCCCCACACACACTCACACAATTCCTATCCCCACCTCTATCCCTGGCCCTTCCCTCTCTCCCTCTCTCTTTCTCTCTGTCTCTTGCCCATGCCGACATTCAAAAGCTGAGCAAGGTGGTGCTAACCCAATTAGGAAACCCCATTTCATGGCCAAAGAGAAAGGGAGACTTTTTCCATAAGGAGACACAAAGGGGCTCCCTATCTGCCCTCCTGGACGGCATCTGTAAATACCCCAAAACAGGGAAAGAAGGGATTCTCATCTTCTCTAACAGAGAACAGATTTCCTCTCCTTAACATCCATTGTCATTAAGGCGAAAGGCTGACTTGGCGTTATAAATCTTCTCGTCCTTCTGATAACACACTTGTAATAAGTTAGCGTCCTATTCAAAGTGAATTGTAAAACTGCCTCATTTAATATGGCATCTGTGTCATTAAAACTTTTATTTCCCCCCCACTTGCGTCTTGCAGGCCTGGCATTCCCCCCAGGCCTCCAGGGTAGGACCAGGGGGAGCAAGGTGCGAGGGAGCTGCCTGAAGGCAGCCTCTGGATCTTAGTCTGGGCTGAGGGACCCCGGAGGCAGAGAGGGCCTGGGGGTGGGGAACAGGGTGCCCCTTTCCTATCCACCTCCACCCCAGTGGGCCCCTCGAAATGACGTTCCTTGAAAGAAACATGCTTGTGATTAGCTAAGCAAACACATCTGCTTTCGGAGTTGGGCCTTCGTTAATTAGCTGAACAAAGGGCCGTTTTGCTTTTTACCTTTTGCTGGGGGAGAGTGTGTTATTTCAGGAGTGTCGCGGGCCCTCCTCTTTTCAATTGCAGCCACGACGTTAATTTTATTGGGATTACTGATGGGAAATGAGGTGGCGCGGGCTTCCGAGAGGAAAAGCTTGATCATTACCCCCTTTGGAACTATATTTTTCCACCCAACCTCCTGTTCGCGAGGAGGGGTGAGGGGCGGACTGCGCAAAGTTCGGAGCAATTGGAATCCGGCTCTCGGTCCGCTGATCTCGGGTGACGGAGAGTGTGTTGAAGCTGAACTCTATAATTTGTGCTTCTGTCCCTTTATTAGGCCTGGACAACGAACTAATGAGCTTTAGCCCAGCACAGTGTCACTTGTATTTATTTTCTTATGGCAACTTTGAGATAACAGAAGTGTTCCTTACTAAGAGCCAGGGATGGCGGGGAGTACTGACTGCTGCTCAGCGGGCTGGTGGCTGTGTCCCACGGGAGCCGGGTGTGGCTGGGGTTAGGGCAGGACTGGTGGCACCCAGGCCCTGGCCGGGGGCGCTCAGGAAGGCTGTAGGCCCTTTGGAGGGGCGGGAAGCTCCACAGGCCCAGTTCCCTGAGGTTAAGGGGCCCAGGGCAAGCCCAAGACAGGCCCTC